CAGGTAAGTTACCAAGAGTGGAACGGCTGGAGTATAGGGTAGCTCTATTTTCAGATTTCTGAGGAAGCTGCATGCTGTGCTCCATAATGGTTGCAATAGTTCACTTTCCCAGGAAGTTAAGTGGGGTATCTTTTCCTCCTCATCCGTCTCAGCATTTGCTTTTTGATTTTTGGGTGCTAATCATCCTAACTGGAGTGAGATGAAGCTTTCTTGTTTTCATTTGTGTGATCCTGAGCCTCTTTTCACAGTTCTGTTGATCATTTATGTTTTGAAAAGTGTCTCTTCATATCTTTAGCTGATTTCTTACCTGGACTGTTTACTTTGCTGTTTTTTGAACTCCTTGTATCCTGGATATTAATCATTTATCAGATGTATAGTTGGTAAATATTTTCTCCCATTCTGTTTGCCGCCTCTCTGTTGAGTGTACCCTTTATCATGCAGAAACTTCCTAGCTGGAGATAATTCCCATTTGCCTATTTTTGCCTTCATTGCCTTGGTTTCTGCTGTCTTATACAAGAAGTCTTTGCCTATACCATTTTCTAGTTTTCTTGTTGTCTTCTAGTAATTCGATGATTTCAGGTCTTAGTTTTATATACTTGATCCATTGTAGCTGATTTTTGTATAGGGTGTAACATAGGAGATCTGGTTTCATATTTCTGCATCAAGTTTGAAATATGATCTTGTTTTCCCAACAGCATTTATTGAGAAGACTGTCCTTTTCCCAGGGGATGATTTTAGCCCATTTATCAAAGAACAGCTGCTTGTAGAAGTCTGTTACACTGGTCATTATGTTTACACTTGTGCTGGCATCAAGCTGTTTTGATTGTAACTGCCCTATCATAGGGCTTGGGATAGCACATTATGATGTCTCCAGTTCTATATTCATTTGTTAGGATTTCTTTAGGTATTCAGGATTTCTTGTGCGTCCATATGAATTTTAACGTAAATTTTTCCAGATCTAAGAAGAATTTCAATGGTATTTTCTTCAGATTACATTGAATGTGGAAATTATTTTGACATTTTAATTACATTAATTCTTCCAATCCATAATATGTTAGGATTTTCCATTTTTGTGTCTTTTTCTATTTGCTTCTTTATTTTTGCTATTTTTTAAATTTTCATGGTAGTGATTTTTCACATCTTTAGCTAAATTTATTGCAAGGTAATTAAATTTTTCTGAAGCTATTGTGTATGGGAACTTGTGATCTTTCCAATTCTTTCTCAGCCATAAGATTGGTTTTCTATCAAAGGATATTGATTTGTGATTGCTCCTTTTATGTCTTTTAAGTTCGCCAAACTCTTATGAGTTCTATTAATCTTTCACTGAAGTCTCTTGATTCTCCCATGTTAAGATAATATCATATGAAAATGGGGATAATGTTTCCCCCTTTATTTATTTTTCTTGTCTAATGGCTTCTGGCTAGCACTTCCAAAACTATTTTGAGCAGTGTGGTAAGAGCGTGCATACTGCTCGATTTCCAGATCTTAGTGGGAATGCTTCCAATGTTTCCCCCGTTTTTCATCTATAATCTTGATTGAGCTGAGTTAGGCATCCTTTCAATATCCAATTTATTTATTTTCCTCTGTCACTATGAAAAGATTTTGCATTTTGTCCAAGACTTTCTCTGCATCTATTGAGAGAGTATACATTTTCTATTCTTCAGTTTGTTTAAGTCATCTATCATATTAATGGTTTTGTGCATGTTGAACCACTCAAGCATATCAGGAAGAAATGTCACTTGTCTGGATTATTGATCATTTTAATTTTATTATTATTATTATTATTTTTAATTGGAAAGGCGGATATACAGAGAGGAGAGATAGAGAGGAAGATCTTCTGTCTGATGATTCACTCCCCAAGTGAGCGCAACGGGCCAATGCTATGCCGATCCGAAGCCAGGAGACTCTTCCAAGTCTCCCACGTGGATGCAGGGTCCCAAAGCCTTGGGCCATCCTTGACTGCTTTCCCGGGCCACAGGCAGGGAGCTGGAAGGGAAGCGGGGCTGCGGGGATTAGAACCGGCGCCCATATGGGATCTCGGGCATGCAAGGTGAGGACCTTAACCACTTGCGCCACCGCGCCGGGCCCGATTATTGATCATTTTTATGTTGGTGAATTCAATCTGTGCAGGTGTTACTGAGGACTTTTACAACTCTGTTCATCTGGGATATCTCTGCATGTTTTTCCTGGTTTCAGAATTGAGATGCTGCATGCCTCTTACAAGAAGTTTGGAAGGATTCCTTCCCTTCATTGTTTTGAATAGTTTGAGAAGGATAGAAATTAGCTTTTCTGTGAACGTTTGATAGAATTCAACAGTCATCTGGTCCTGGGTTTTTCTTTGTTGGGAGGATCTTCATTTTTGGAAGGATTCCATTTCCATCTTGGTTATTGGTCTGTTTTAGTTTTCTATACCCTCATGACTCAATTTCGGTAAATTATGTATCCAGAAGTCTATCCCTTTCTTCTAGATTTTCTAATTTGTTGATATATGGATATTTGTAATAATTTCTGATGATTTTTCTGATTTCTGGGATATCCATTGTATCATCGTTTTTTTTTCACTGATTTTTTAAACTATTCTCTGTTTCTGAGACACATTCTTTCATATCATTTGCAAGGCTAGACAAGCGATGGCAGATTCTTTCTGTTTCTGTTCGTTATGGGTCGTCTTTATTTCACTTTCACTGTAAATGACAGCTGCACTAGATACAGGCTTCTGGGTTGAGAGTAGCTTTTATTCTTCTAGGTCTTGGACAATGTCTCTATTCACTCCTAAACTGCATGGCTTTTGATGAGAAACAAGCTGTTAGTTACTCTAATTTGAGATTTCCTGAAGGTAATCTGGCATTTCTCTTGTGAGCACTGTAGGATGTTTTTGTTGGGGGGGGGGCAGTTTACTTTTGCAAGTTTGATTTTCTCGAACCTGTTTTCTGAACATATTTATTAGAAATTCTATGTGGCTCCTTTACTTAGAGGTCCGTGTCTCTCTTAATATTAGGCAATCTGTCTGCTATTATTCCACTGAACACATCATTTGAAGTCATTCTGTCCTCATCGTCAGGAATCCTGAGACACACATATTTGGTTGTTTCAGAGCATCCCGCAAATCTAGAAGACTAAATTCTTTTCTTCTTCGTTTTCCTGACTGAGCTGTTCCCAAGGACTTTTTTCTTCCTTCTAGTTTGTTGGATATTCTTTCTTGTGCTTCACCAAGTGTGTTGTCAAGGATTTCCACCGCATTTTTATTTTATATTTTGAATTCTTTTATTTCTAAAATCTCAGTTTATTTTTTCAGTACCTCTTATCCCCCAGCAGAATTTCTCATTCCTGTTATGTATGTATTTCTTTAACTCATATATCTGCTTATCTGTGTTTTTGAGTAACTTTATGATCATTATTTTTGAATTCTTTTTCAGGCAACTCATCCATCTCTGCCTTTACATTCTCATGATGAAGCCTTGTTGTATGTCTTTTGGGGAGTCATATCATCTTCCTTGTTCATGCTTTTCGTATTTCTACATTTATTTTTAGGCATTTGTAGAAACACTTGTTGGTTTTCTCCTTTGAGGGATTTTAGCTATAAAATATGTCTCTGTGGCCTAGACATCTTCCGACGAAAGTGCTGGTGGGTCCAGAGAACCTTGATCAGTGTTCCATGAGTCAGGAGCCCAGAGGGACACCCAGGATGGGCGTGTTAGACCTCGTCTGCTCTCAGCATCAATGTGGGAATGGTATGTTCACCTCAACAGGTGTATGTTCAGAGACCCACCAGTCTGCTCAGGTGAATCAGCTGCCTGGGGTGAGCCTGATGTGCCTGTGCACTATACAATCATTTTGAAGACTGTTGATGCTTTCATTACTGGCACTGATTCTGCCTGACATTGTAAGTCTGCAAGGTTCATGTGTCCATAATGTCTTTACCACACTATTTGTAACCATGCTGGGTATAGGCCTACAAAGAAATCTGCATCTTGTTGGAACCCCATGTAGATTTGTGACTGGTACTGACCATACATCAAAGTTCAATCCTTAATATAGTCCAACTTTCAATTCTTGCCCAAGGTTAGTACTTATTTTGATCTTGATCCCAAAGTAAATTTAGCGTTAATTTGTATTTTACAGTACTCTCTAACTATGGGCAGGGCTAAGGTTTTGATATGCTCAGCTATATTAGTCTTATCTTTGTTAGGGTATTAAAATCTCAAGGGATGATCTTATCTGTGCTTAACAGAGCTGCTTTCTAGATAAATTCTCCAGACCAGTGTGATCTCAGATATTTTAAACATTAAGTCATGTGGCTTCTGTGTCAAAGGAGAGAGGAGCAGCTAATGAGAGCTGTACGCTTTGGCTTAGTAAGTAGGCATGGGACTGATATTCGGGGCCTTGTATAAACCTCCACTTGGGTCATGTGAATTTCATATGAAACCATCTGCTTGGAATTTCAGTTTTGCTTCTAATTCCAGCTTCTTGTTGGTATTTCCTGGAAGGGTGAAGTAGTTAAGATGGTGCCATCCACAGGGATTACTGGGTTGAATCCTCAGTTAACTCTTAGCTTCAGTCCAACCTCGATTGGGCTGTTGTTGTCATCTAGGGAATGAGCTATCGGGTGGAAGAGCTCTCTCTATCTGCCTTTCAAATAAAATGAAAATAGAAATGAAATAAGGCAGATGCATATCAACCTCAGTGAATTTAGACTTTATTTTCTTCTTTGCATTGAAAAAATATTATTTAAAATTTTGGACATTAAAAAGACTATCTTTTACAAAATAAAAAAGTTGGGCTTCAACTTTTATTGTAGAGGTTGCCAGTTTGGAGGTTAGTTTTACAAGAAGAAGAAAAAAAAAAATAACCACAATCAAAAAACTGAATTGGGTGCTAATATTCTTTACAGGAAATCCCTGTAGAGGAAACAGGTTTACTCACTCTTTCAAATAAGTCCAACCACAAGCCTTTTCTAATCAAGAAGTTTGGTCAGAGAAGAATTCAGATACTTCATCTACTAGCCATTTCCTTCTCTAGTTAGGGGTAGGTCATTTGATTTTTCCCTGTATATGTTTGGGTATCTCACAATATTAATGAGATTCCTTTATCCCTAGAGGTTTAATTTATGTTTCCTAAACTGTGTGAATTAAGTGGTGATCACAACTTCTCTAGATATCTTTCTGGCTAGAAAGAAACAGAATAGAACTCTTTGAAAATGAATCTTTTTTCACATGCTGTTCTTCAGATACAAGTCCAGCAGTCACTGGAAAAAAAGAAACTTGAACTTCCTTCCTCTTTCTTTGCATCTTAAGAACAGGAAATGAAGGTAAGAAACAGTTTATTACTTCACCCTGGATTTCCTAACCAGATCATTTGAGTTGAGAAATGAGCTTGTATAATTTTTAAAAATGAATTATTATAAAAATCATTGATTATGAAATATTTTGGTTAGCAGATATGCTAATTAGCAGCACGACATATCCATATGTGCAGACTCTTCACTTAAAAAGAATGTTATTACAAGGTAACTATATCTAAAGTGCACGGAGAGTTCACAGGATATATGAGGGCAGAGTAATTTGAGATGTTTACCTGTTGCAAATGCCTGGCTTGACTGGACTGTGAAAAGCAGGAGTTTTGCACTTTATTTTACATTTTTTTCCCCTACAACATAGGGAATTAAAAATACCATGGACCAACTGAGATTCGTAATGCTATTAGTCAAATTACTTGCTATTACTGTTAGACCAATAGAGCCTACATTGTATTTTAAGTCTGCCTCCAAATGAGAGTACTCCCTTCAGATGTCCTTATTGACACCTGCTTTCTCTGGCATTGTTCTCTCTCAGAACAATCTTTGCCAGTGAAAATTTCAGCTCATTATCTCCCCCAAAGATAGTTGAAGGCATTGTCATTAGCAACTGGTGGGAAAAATCTTCATCACTCATGGAAGAGAAAAAAAAAAAGCTTTTAAAAAACACATCTTGAAGGTGTTTTGGAGGAATATCCTATAGATTGTGAAAGTCATAATTTGGGCTCTTATTTCCATATGTGATAGCTTCATCTTCATGGCAAAGGGGAAACCAGAAGCTCTGAGATGCTCTGCTTCTGCATTCGCATCTCTCTTGTCATACTGACCAGATAGGTGCTTGTCCCTAACAGTAGAGCCTCCTGTTCTATGCGCACAAACTTTGGCTGTCCTTCTATAAAAGAAGGATAGCACCCATCTTCCAAAGCATGACCAGGAAGTAAACAGGTGATTTCTTTGGTCAAATTGTCACTGTATTCCAGGAGCAGTTCGCAACTTGATTCCGCTTAAATTGCCTGGTGCTTAACGGATGATACACTCTGCACTTGGGTGATTCCTCAGCATTCAGTGAAGGGCTTTGGTGGTGGTGGTGGAGGAAGAAGCATCCACGGCCACTAGAATGTCTTAAAAGATAGATTCTGACAAGGAAGCCACATGAGATGCAAGCCCCATGGATGGCATCTCCCGAGTGAGCTGCTGCTGGGTTGTTCAGTGGCTGGCCACAGTGCTCACAGATCCCGGAACTCCTTGTTAGCTCACCTGCGTGAGCTCTGTTCTTGTCCCTGTGGAAGGCTTCTCAAAGATATCTCCTGGATCACATAGACTGATCTGCTGCTAGTTTATAAATAAGATTCTAGGTTTCTCTCTTGAGGACAGATCTGATTTAATAAGACCTTGGGGAAAGCCCGTGAAGATGCATTGGTAACTTATTTTTCAGTTTGTTTTTATAGTCAAGACAATATGCGAAACACTGTGCCTAAGCAAACTTGCATCTTCGGAGCAGACCCAGGGGGCCCGAGGTTGGAGATAAGCAGGAGGCAGCACCAGGCAGAGTACCTAGCTCAAGGTTGGGCTGGAATGTCCAAGCAATGTACAGTGTTATCTGCCAATGTTAGGGCCCAGGCTGCTCACCACTTGAACCATCACTTGAAAGAAAAGAGTTGTTGCAAAAGAGTTGAAGAAGTAAGTAAGCTAGACTGCTTTAGTCCCAGATATGCTCCTTTAAAAGACTTTTTAAAGGAACAGAAAGGATAGATAAGAGGTGTCAAAAGTAAGGGGCCCAGTGCAGTATCCTAGCACCTAAGGCCTCACCTTGAATGCGCTGGGATCCCATATATGTGCAGGTTCTAATCCCAGCAGCCCCACTTCCCCATCCAGCTCCCTGCTTGTGGCCTGGGAAAGCAGTAGAGGATGGCCCAAAGCCTCGGAACTCTGCACCCGTGTGGGAGACCTGGAGGAAGCTCCTAGATCCTGGTTTCAGATCAGCTCAGTCCTGACTGTTGTGATCACTTGGAGAGTGAAGATCTGCCTCTCCATCTCTCCTCTCTTCTGTATAAAGACATGCTCAGTATGGGTACACTATATTTTGTGGTACTGACTTGCTAGTTACTTGGGCATTCAGATCACAGTACAGTAGAACTCAGATAATCTTACCAGTCATATAGTCCTACCAGTAACCTTCCCTGCTTAAACCCCCAAAAGTTAAATCCCTTAGCTGCAAGGTAGAATTATTACTGAACTAACTCAAAATAATTGCTTTTGCATGTACAAAAGACAAAATCTAAAGTGGCAAAATCCTCGTGACGTACTAGAGTCCTCAGGAAGAAAATTCTGACATTAGATTGCTACGTATTTGTTCTGTGTCCTTCTTCCTTCTGGAATAACCTTTTCCCATGCATCCTCACCAACAAATTGATTGCGTACTTAAGCATCAGCAGTGTCCCCGGGTCAGGAGATATAACTTCTCAAATAGGATCCCTGGCCTTCAGGAGCTTCCTGTCTAATGGGAGATGCAGGCACATGGACCCGTTGCTCGCCTCACTGTCACTGCAGACCCATCCTAGTTGCTCCCCCAATCTCCCAACAGCTGCCTTGGATGTTCTCCAGTTGGATTCTGCAGATGTTTCTGTAAGAAAATACTTTAATATCAGCAGTTCATTTATTATAATTAAACTTAGCCCCTCTTCCTAACATCTGAAGATGTTAGGGTTGTGGTGTTGTGTTGTGTTTTGTGTGTGTGTGTGTGTGTGTGTGTGTGACAGATCAGATGTGAAGACTTTTATAAAATAAGAGCATCAAAATATTCCTTTCTGAGAAACAATGAAGCTACCTGTAGAGAGAAGTTTGAGAAAGTGAGAGGTGGTGGCAGGAATAAGTAAAAGACATGAAACAGGGAGCCAGGAGATGAACGTCATGGCTGGGGAGCTCTGAGGGTGGAAGCTTAGGGTAGAGAGAGAAAGAAGCAGGCTTCCTCTGTTCTCTAATATTTAACTTAGCAAACTAGTACTGCAAGGTACTCTCCAGTGTTATGTATAGAAGCTACAGCTTTAACTTCCCTAACTGTGGAAACATGACATATTCATCAGAGTTGGGTCCTTTTTTTCAGGAAAATTACACCCAACTCTTGCTGAATTACTCATGGGGAAAAACATCTATTTAATCTGCATATCTCCATAGAGAATGCACACTTACATGTGTGTGTGTACTAGGCAAGATCATTAAAGAAAGTATTCCCTGAGGAGGAAATGGCATTAGAAGAGCATACATTTGGTGCCTGGGTCCCGGGAGTTCTTGTGGCTGACACACTCCTTCTGCAGAGGTGTGAGAAAAGTCCGCAGGAAAAGCGTGTTCTTCACCATTGAAAATACCCATACAAATTACGAGCATGCAAACGCCCATTGAGGTAGGAACTGCCCTTTGAAAGCTTCCTGTGTCACTTGCGTTTTGGTCACCAGTTCTGATTTCTCCATTTCCTATTTTTTTTTAATTTGCAGAAATGAGTATGTTAATCAGGGAAACTCTGTGAAGCTGGCAGTCTGAGTGGGCAACAGAGCAAGCCATTGACGTGATGCCAGCAACGAAGGACAGCAATGCTCTGTTTGGTCTGGGTGCTTCTCTGGCCTGTTGCAGAAGGAAGAATCCAGGGGCTTAATATTTCAGGTAGGACTTTTCACTTTTCGTATTATTAGCACCGTGAGTCTTGGGGAGAGATTTCTCCAGTCACAGATAATTGCAGAAAGCAGCAGCACGATATTGAGACGCAGCATTTCCTCCCTACTGCTAAGGAGAGAGTGGGAGGGAATGACTGCAGTGAGTAACTTTCAGTGAATGCCAGACATTAAAGGGGAGCCTAGTGGCCACAACTGCGGGGGGTGGTGGGTTGTGCAGAGGAACAACTGAAGGAAGGAGATGATGGTCTGACAGTAGCACACGGAGGGTCGAGGCTGGTGAGGAGGATGCTGAGGTCTTCTGGGAGAGAATCGGAACATGAGCTTGTTTGCTACTATGGTATGGGCACGGTGAAGAAGAGGGACTCACGAGGAAGCTTGACCCCTTGTGGCATCCAGTACTGTTTGTAGTTATAAAGGCATCGTCTAATAGGATTCTGTGTTGCTTTGCTTATTGTGTTTCTCAGACTGCGCCACCAAAACACTCCTTTGGGCATATTCTTCCAGCAGAGAAGAGGAGTTTGTAATATTTTGCGATTTATCAGAGGCACAGAAACCACACTTCCACCACAGAAGTCAACCCTCACCAACCCGAGGTCTTCAACGCTTGCCCTGCAATGGCAGCAAGGACCTATCGGATGTGCAGTGGTATCTACAACCCCAGGAGGGAGAACCTTTGGGAGAAATTGTTGGGAGCCACCCTCACATCATTCAGGACAAGAACACACTTCGCTTTTTAACCCCGTGGATGAATAATTCAGGGCTCTATGTTTGTAGGCCCAGGATTAGGTAAATGCCACACGCATTCCTACCTGAAAACATTCCCTGATTTCCCTACGATTTAAACCAAATGTCTGTGTTCACAGGAACTTGTTCATCTCCTAGGAGCCCCCGGGACGAGGCCTGTTGTATCAAGATGGTCTTGAAGGTTGAACCTCAGTTAAATGCATCCTGCCAGAGCCGTGTCTCCCATCAGCAAAACCTTCTTCTCGGTAGCACTGCTCACATCCATTGTCCCAGTCTCAGCTGCCAAAGTGATGTGAAAAATCCAGAGATGACTTGGTACCAGGTAAGGGTGAGTTCTGTGGTATTCCAGCAGGAACATGTGTTGCTATCCTAACAACGCTATAGGTACTTCCCAAAAATGTGTTAGAGAATCTGAGATTCAGAGATCCCAAAGGGAACTCCTTGTCTGTGCAGGAGACCAGACTTTTTCAGGTTATCTTGTCCGCTGGCTAGCCAAAGGACCGGGAATTCCAGTGACTGGAAAAAAAAATTTGATCCATGCCAGAAACGTCTCTAAAATTCAAGTATACTGAGCTGGGACGTAAACTCACTAGGAACTGCTAATGTAGAAGGACAGTTAGCTCACTTACACTGTACCTGAAAAAAACAATTGATATTGCAAACGGAAAGCAGTGTTTGTTGATGGGTTTGTGGAAAAACATCAGAGGGTTGAAGATTTTCCAAAGAGAACACATCTCAGAGGTCAGGGGTAGCCGGAGGTAAAGATTGCCTTGGACAAGAGAGGGGGTAGAGAGAGAGTACTCTGCTCAAAGGATAAGGGGATGCAAAACAGTTTCATAATGATGCTTGTCTTTGAACCACAACTAGGCAGACTTCACAAGTTTGTGCTTCCGTTTTCTCAAGTGCTAAGCAGGTGTGTAAAGCTGTGTAAGATTTTTACCCTGTGAGGCTCTGTGTCAGTCGCAATCTGGGTGTGGAATTTGGGGATGGATTTTTGAAGTTGCCTCCTACGGCCACACTGATCTTAGAGAGCGCAGTATTTCATACTAAAATGTGTGCTAAATTTTTGAATTCAAAAGATACTAAAGAGTTGCAAAAGTTAATGGAGAAATGGAATTAATAGATGAATTCATTTGGGTGCAAAAAATTTTTAAAAATTCATGCATAGATTTTTATGTAATGTTCGTTTTCTATTACTGCTTGGAAGTTTCCTTGAGTTCATTGATATAATTATTATGAATGTGGGATGTGTTTAGCATGACGTTTGATGCACTTCAGGATTTAAAAAATGAGGAAGTTTTGGCAGTAGTTACTGTGGTGTGGCATGGAGCTTTCTCCACTTGCTTGGCCAGACAGCACAGTGGTAAGTGGATAGGTATTAAGGTCATGGCAGAAATGGTAACAGATACTCCATGACTTTAGAATGACATAAACCATAATAACTGTGGGAAAACTTCATTTGGAAGGTATGATAATTTCATAACATCTCAAATGAAGTTGGTAAGTTGAGCCAATAGTTCTGTTCATATTTTCAGTTCTCTCTTCACTTCCCTCGTATCAGTCATCTCAGTTTTGGAATGGCAGATGGCTCACCAGATGGCCTGTTTTGGCCACCAAAACTATCTTATGTCCATTTTTTTCCCAGGTTTAATTTGCTTTAAATTTCCAATGATGGCTTACCTGGGAAAAGGGGACTTCCCCTTATAACTACACACAAGCAATAGAGTGGCCCCCAACTCTCAGCATACATTACTCTAAAAAGCCAAACACTAAGGCTGTGTTATACCATAACTGAGAGCAGGCAGACATTCTGAGGTTTGCTTAGCAATGGCTGTTAGCAAACTGTCCCTTTGGCTCATGCTGCGACACATCCCTGCCTGCACCTAGAAGTCTGGAAGTTACAGACCTCGAGTCAGTAGTGTCCCCCCAAAATGCTGGATGCCTAATACCCCTTTATCGTAAGCTGAATCCCAGGTTCTCAGCTGGAAAAAAATTTTATTATTGATCAAATCTCCTTGTTTGATAATGATCTGATCAGAACTCAATGGATTAGTTTCTGGGGTCTCATATTGGCTCCATTGGTCCACATCTCTACTCTTGTACTAATACCGATTGATTGCAACTGCTCAGCTTGGTTTTCAATTTTATGATTGCTCTAACTATTGGAAATGCCTGTTCCAATAGAAAACTGTTTGGTCCTCTACGTATAGAATCATATCAGTGGCAACAGCTCCTTTCTCATTTATGATTATATATAGTTACGCATTGCTCACACACTGTTGGTTTTGGTATTGCTCATAGTCTGTTGGTTTTGTCTTTCAAAAAATAGTCACTGGGCCCAGTGTGGTAGCCTAGCGGTTAAAGTTCTCACCTCGTATGTGTTGGAATCCCGTATGGGCACCAGTTTGTATTCCGCCCGCCCTGTTTTTCATCCAGCTCTCTGCTTGTAACCTGGGAAAGCAGTACAGGATGGCCCAAAGCCTTGGGATCCTGCACCCATAGGAAGCTCCTTGCTCCTGGCTTTGGATTGGCTCGGTTCCTGCCATTGCGGTCACTTGGGGAATGAATCATTGGATGGAAGATCTTCCTCATTGTATCTCCTCTCTGTATATCTAACTTGCAATAAAAATAAATAATTTATTTTAAAAAAGCCATCTCAATCTTTTAAAATTTTCCCATTGTTCTTCTAGTCTCTATTTCTTGTATTCAGATTTTTGTGATCTTCCTTCTGATTCTGAATTTACTTTGTTCTTTTTCTTTTTTTTTTTAAAGATTTATTTTTATTATTTTTTCATTGGAAAGGCGGATATACAGAGAGGAGAGACAGAGAGGAAGATCTTCCGTCCGATGATTCACTCCCCAAGTGAGCGCAATGGGTCGATACTATGCCAATCCGAAGCCAGGAGCCTCTTCCGGGTCTCCCACGCGGGTGCAGGTTCCCAAAGCTTTGGGCTGTCCTCGACTGCTTTCCCAGGCCACAGGCAGGGAGCTGGAAGGGAAGTGGGGCTGCCGGGATTAGAACCGGCGCCCATATGGGATCCCTGGTGTGCAAGGCGAGGACCTTTAACCACTTGTGCCACTGCGCCGGGCCCTGTTCTTTTTCTTATTCTTTGGATCTTAGTGGGCTTTTTGGATCTGGGACCCATCCTTTTTATACATAACATTTATTGCTATAAATTTCTTCCTTATGACTGCACTGCATCCAAAAAGCTTTGGTACTTATGTTTTCTGTTTTACATGACTCAAGGTTTCTTTTTTATCATTTAGTTTCATTTTTCATTTCTTCCATGACCCATTGGTTCCTTAGGGATATGTTGTTTAGCTGCCAGATATATACAATTTCTCCATAACTCCCTTTATCCATGATTAACTGTAATTCAACAGCTAAATAGGAACTTGCAGAAATAAACAATTCCTAAGTTTTAAATGGGCTCTGTTTTAAGGAACATGATGCAATCTCACTTTCTCTCACTCTCTTCTCTGTGTGATTTGTACCTTTCCTTTGTCCTGGGAGTCTGAATTCATGCTAGTACTCATCAGTTATGTAGCAGCTCTCTTGGTTAGCTGATGGAATGTGGAAGTACTGCACTGCTTGTGTTCATGTAACACTCACACAGTAGTCTAAAACTACATCAGCATGTCTACGTAGTTCGTGTCAGTTCATCTTCTACGTCAGCCATTGCATCATCTCACATCATTGTTAGAACCGTGCAATAGATTATTTTTAGAGAGAGCGAGAGAGTACAGTTTCATAAAATCCATTACAATATATTCGTATAGTCATTTTGGTTTATTACTAGCAATTAGTAATATCCTCTTGGATCATACCAGGATTACTTTGAAACATTCTTTTTCTGTCTTTTATTTTTCATAATTGTATTATGATGCAGCTTGGTGAATTTCTCTTTGGGTTAAATTTGGTTGGAGACCCCTGGGAAAACCTGTGACAATTTCCTTGGATATGCTTTTTTAGCTCTTTTCTCTGTTCTCTGTCTGAAACTCCCACAGTGAAAGTCAGTTCTCTTGATCACGCCACGTAATTCTCACAACCCTTCTTTATTCTGTTTTGTCTCTCTGATGACAATTTCCAATGTGTTCAACTTTGCAAGTGTGAGCACTGACCTGCATGAGTATCAGTGGGAAGACAGTGAAGATGGCTAAATACCAGTGACAGTTTCAGGGGATAAAAGAAAGTTTAAATTTTTGACTGAGGGATGTTAAAGGGATATCTGTAATGTTCCTGATCCTTATGTAAATTATATTCATAGCATTTACAAAATATGGGAAAGCAGAAGTTGTTTGAAGTAGAAGTAGCAGAAAGGTGATGTAGATAAATTTAGATCCAGTGAATCCATGACGGGGAATATCAAAAGAGACATGAAAACATCTAAGTCATCACAGCGGACAGGGCAGAAACAAGGATCCTTCGAATCCTCCCAGAATGCGGTGGTGGAAGCTACCATGTTGGAGCTCCAGTTTCAGGAAGCATCGTTTCCATGCAATAAATATGACAATATTTCAAAAAATTAACTAACAGTTGGTTCATTTGGGTAAAAAAAAAACCTTTCAAATCTGTGTATAGTTTTTTGTAAAACAAATTTCCTGAAAGTTGTCTGAAGTAGCGTTTGTGGTGCTCCTTGGAGTAACTGGGTTGCTGAGTAGCACAAGAACTTTCTGCTAGGGTTGTATAATGTTATGGTAACTGTCCCCAGTGGTAAGAATGACTTTAATCTTCGCCTTGCTTCATACACACTTTACAGCTTGTTTTTAATACCTTCACATTTAGTGCATTTTTCAGTTCTTTTCAGGATACAGCAACTTTTCCTACAAATATATCCCCACAGATGCGCAACCTTTGGCATTTTGTTCATCTCCATTTCATATCCGAGTACAATGAAGAATTTCCTGCAAGGTCCCATGAACATCTCTCTTCCTTATTAGCATCATTTGTGATTACAATATTAAAATTATTTTTCCTATGATCCTTGGCATAGAATTCCTTCTTCTTAATTTCTTTCTTTTCGTGGATGTAATTCCTTGAGTAGCCTTAATGGTATATACTAAACCATATGCGTATTTTTATGAGAAAAAAAAATTCAAGTCTACTTCATAATCATCCTCCCTAGTGGCTCAACTCAATTTTCATTGCCAGATCTCGAGCCCCCTTCCATCACTTTCTCAGTTGATTTGCTGCACATCTCTAGTCTAAACTATATCCAGTATATGATATTACTGTGCTTTCCAAAGTTGGATCATCCATGCCCACCCCGATTACTTAATATTTAGCCTTGTATTTCTTCACATTTTGACCTTGTTTTACTTTACAATTTTCTTAAATTTATTTTTACTTTTGATGCTGTTTACGTGGTTGATCAGGGTGGGAAGGGGGTCGAGGATTAGGGGAAAGTGAGTGAAACCACTGTTTCCACATTTTCCTTTTCTTCCTCCTGTATCTTGGGGAACAGAGGAGATGAGGGGAGAAGCCACACCTAGCCTCCCAACCACCTCAATATCAGGGGATTGGGAATGGCCACCCTATGTTATCCCAGAATCCTCGATGCGGAGCATGCTCTGAGGGTTCTACTCAAGTGGTTTCTATAGTTCTGAAATGCTGTGGTTCTTGCAGATCCAAGGATGAGGAAATGCTTGCAAGGTCCATTGCCTGACATAGCCCATCTCATAGGTGTCTATTCACCCAGATATTTGCTGTCAATGTTTGGCTGGGGTAGTTGACCCTTTTGTTCTGCCCTCCTTCCTCTGCTATGGCAGCAGATATCTTCTGCAGGTCCTAATGGACGGCCATGTCCTCCATGTGCATCTGGGCATGCTGTGCACTATACCGTCTTACCCATTGTGGAGGCCAATTTCTGACACATGTACTGCATGGTCAGGCCACAGATCCTGCAATTCTCCCCATGGTTGGAGCTCTGAGTTCAGGAGTTCAGTTGCTGGTGGGGGTCCCCAGATAAGCTTCTTGTAAGATGATCTCAGACCTGACTCTTGTGTGCTTGCCTGCATGGGGTTGGCTTGCTTTATTTCCTACCTCGGCTATCTCTCTCTAAAGAATCAGCCAGCCCCTTTCCCCTTAGACTCTTTGCCAACCTATTGGAAATTCCTTTTTGGGGCACAGAAACCACACCAGAGGCTTGGGATGGAGAGGAAGAGTTCTTGCTTCTACCAGTTATCAGGCGTAGTGAAAGGAAATTAATCAGAACATGAAACTCAAAGTTAGAAAAGTGTAGGTTGTTTTTTTTTCAGTCTCTCACTGGTCTTTCACTTACTTCCTTTTATTTTATATCCAGAAACTCTGTTTTTTTTTAAGAAATGTAATCTATACCACTCAAATTAGAGGATTTTTGGGTGATTATATGCAATACTACATGAAACAGAATTTTATAGTCTCTTCATGACAGATTCTTATCAATTTTTAGTTTTTGGATATTTATTCATTTTTTCCTGTTAACTGCAGTGTTAAGGGATATGTCCCTAATGCTTTCAGTTGAAAACTGGAAGGTTATGTGCCATAGAAATACTAACATACTCAGATAAGAAGACAAGGGACTCTAGCACTATTGGTGCTGTGACCATCACTCACCAAACAAATATTTATTGAGTCATTACTCTGCCCTACCATGAACAAGAAAAAGTGATTACACTTGTGGTTACTTAAACTTTTAAGAGCTTCCATATCTAGGTGCAAGTGCTTTTTTATTTTTTCTCTTAAGATACTGATCATGCATTTATCTAGCTATAAACTCTTCATTTTGCTTGCACCTTCATTTATTTATTTATTCGTCATTTACAAAGAGCGTACTATCACTGCCTCATATACTATACTCTGGAAACACAAAGACCAAACATATCAACATTTTCCTCTGATTCACTCTCCAGATTTTTCTAGGGCCAGCCATGTCAGGTTTGGCCACAGCACCCACCAGTACATGTGAGATCTGGCACTGACAGAATGCTTGGTAGGAGAACTTGGGGAATTCCCCTGGTAGGCTGCAGCTCCTGTTGGAGAGTACAAGAACCAGGGCTGGGGCAGGCCAGGCCAGGCTTAGCTACAGCACCCATCAGCATATGTATGTGCCAGATCTGGGGAGGTGGGCGGGGCTGAGGCAGTTCACAGCACATACTGGCACAAGTGAGAGCCAAGATGGGACACAAGCTAGATTGTGTTAGACTGCAACACCCACCAGTTCACATGAGGGTTGGGGCTGAGCCAAGCTGGGCTAGGTTGTTGCTCCCACCAACAAGAGCTGGGACTGAGGGTAGGCCATTTCAGACTGGGCCATCTCACCTGCTGACACATGTAAAACACAGAGCTGGGATGGGTCTAGTAGGGGAATATTAATGACTCCCTTGCTGGGCTACTGTTCTCACTGGTGAGTGTGAGAGCTGGCACTGGCAGCAGGCCAGGCTGGGCTAGGTTGCTGAACCCACTTGTGCACACAAGAGCCAGGATGGGTATGGGCCAGCCAGGGTAGGCCACACCACCAGCTGGCAAGTGCCAGGACTGGGTGTGAGTCATGTTACACTGGACCACAGTACTCCTTGGCAGATGCAGGATTCAGGGCTGGGAACATGCCTGGCAGGGGAGCCATGGACATAGTACTGCTAGGCTTTATCTCCCTCTGGTGAACACAAGAACAAGGGCTGGGGGCAGGTCAGAGTGGACAGAGGTACTTGTAAGTATGTATGTGGGTGGATCTGGGGGCAGGTCGGGCTAAGCTAAGCTGTAGCACCCATGGGAGTGCTTGAGAGCTGGATAGAATATAGGCTGAGCTAAGCTACATCACAGTAGATAGTGGTACATGCAAAACCCAGGGCTGGGCACAGGCCTGGTAGGAGTTACTGAGGGTCACCCTGACTAGATTTATATACCCCTTGGAAACTGGGTCTGTGGTGGGCTGGATGAGCTGGGCCATAGCATCTGTCAGTTCACTGGGTTGAAACTGATCGTGTACAGATAGCAGATTGAACCTGACCCTGCACTGATGGGTGTACACAAGAGTCAAGTCTGAAGTCACCCCCAGTGACATTTCTTGAGGGGATTTTTCAACTAGACAATTGGACTCAGACCCTGGTCACCCTGGAATTCCCAGGATGTGTGGTTTGACCTTGAAGTACATGTACCAGGACTAGGCCTCCTCAGTTGTTGATGCCTGTGTAGTGAACAGCATGCTTGGATGCACACGGGGGAAATGACAACCACTTCATCTGGGCTGGCAGGGGACATGGACTTACCTCAGCAGAGTGTAGAAAGCAGAACAGATTGAACAATCCTGGCCAAGCTAGCATCATGTTCCTGAGTCTGTGGATGCACTAAGGTGAACTTTGTAAACCAGTAGAGCTTGAAAAGATTTGCTGTACCCTGGAACCACAAAACCAACAATGCCTCAGGGCTATTGTAACCACCTGAGTAATACCCTCGAAAACTCCTACCCACACTGGGGTCTCTAGGGTATCATCGCAGGACTGTCCCCTCTCGCTGAGTGCTTATGTAGTTTGATAGCAAGGAATGGCCTCCTCCATTCCCTTCCCTGCAGACACAGGAGAAAAAAGAAAAAGACTGAAACATTTGCCTTACCTATCTTCTTCCATATCTGACCCTCCACATCCTAATAAGAAGCTCCCATGGGCAAGCACCCCTCTCAAATACGTAAGCAACATTAAAAAGAAAATGAACCTGGAAAAAGGAAAAAACAAAGTGATATGAAATATTTACATGTTCACTTGCATATTTAAATGCTGAAACATGTTCTGAAATATTCGCTATGGTCAGGCACAATGTTCAACATTTTGCAGAGATGAGCAGTATTATATAACTGGGAATTTAGTTAACATTTTCCTAATACTAATTACTAATTATGTTGGAAAAAATCCAGAAAAACAAAACTCCCCAGGTTTTTCTAAAGATATAATTAAGATTTACAGAAATTCCCCAGTTAAATAAAGTTATGCGATTTTCTTTATTTTGGGATTAGGATGGAAGACTCCTCTCTGAAAAAAGGAGCAACCCTATCATGCTGGATGAAATTTATGACTATCATCAGGGCACGTATGTGTGTGATTACGTTCATCTGGATAACACAGGCTCATGGACAGTCAGAGCTGTTGTTCAAGTGAGAACCATCGGTAAGCCTGACGTTTACCTTAAGACTGCGATCTGAATCCCAATGTCCCATTCCCTTGGCCTGCTGCCCTTTCTCTTTACTTGTAGAATTGTAACTTTGATCATGGGTAAGCATCATTTTTCATTGACTCCAATCCCATCCCTCAAGGAAGATTCCTTCTGGACAAAGTTCAGGTTATCACAGACAACCTGACAACCCTGCATTTGTCCCTGATTTGCTTTTTATTATCAACTTTAAAATGTATTAAATATTTCATAAGGAAAATACAACATGACAGCCATGTACTCCTCACCAACTTTAATGCACATCAATATTTTTTCATATACCTTAAACAAATATAACATTCTACTCCCTGCCAAATCCTTCCTGCCCCCATGAAGTCATGATCATGCAGCTCATGCCATGTCAACTCATGGATTCATAGTTTTATATCTTTTCTGCCTGCATATGCAGCCAAAAATGCCATAATTTTATGCTATAAAATTTTGCTCTGTGTTCACAAATATATTCCCATATTTACGAGTAATATGAGGATGATTCAAAATATTTATGGAAGACAAATTGGAAGATATATTTGTTTTGGTGTGAGAAAATTTTTGTACTATGTATAGTTTTTTCAGAACCTTCATTTTCCATGAACCACCTGAAGGTTTTTTATGTTTGGTACTGTCAGACTTTCTGATTGATATCAAGTGTGTTTTTTCCCTTATAATTTACATTTCCCTGGCTAATACTGAGACTGAGCAATATGCCATAACTATCTGTCCTCCGAATTTCGTTTTGGTTCTTTTCTAGTTTTGCCCCAACCTTTCCTTTTTTTTTTTTTTTTTTTTTTTTTGTTTTTAGTATATCTATATAAAGATGAACATGGAGGAAGATGAGTATGGATAAATTATATGATATAGCTAACACAAACATGGAGTTGGTACCTAACAGAGCCAGTCATTGTATTGAAGAGCTAGAAAATTTAGTTCTTAATAAATTTTACCACCTTTTTCTTCAGTGTAGCTTTCAAACATTATAGAATAGCTGGTGACCAAATTAAACACATCTGTCTAACTATTGGCCCCTGCTCTCTCCAGCACTTCACATCACAGCCATTTTCTCTCACATCATTCCTTTGGAAAGAAGCCAGTGTGACTATTCCACTCGTGCCATGTAACTCCCAATGCCGCAGTTTCCCCTTTATTCAATCGTTTCTTGGCTCCTCAAATTTCCTTTGGCAGAGTCTGCCTTCCACTCCGACAAAACCTTTTGTGGTCTCCTAGGAACAGAATTATTTGTGGGACGAACAATAGGAACTAGATACTCAAAACGCAGTGAGCAGGAGATGAACCATGAGACAACTCGTTAGACTCATCCAGCTGTAAGTGAGAAGTGAGGAGTGAGGACACACTGGCCAAGTAATGCGTGAAAGATAACACTCCAAGCAGAGCTGAATGTTCAGGAAGTGAAAGAGGACATCACAGCCCAGGAAGAGAAGGAAACTTGGTGGAGGGAGGAAGTCTCGAGGCAGGATGAATCACACTGCTCAGATAAGCTTACAATTTGGCCCAAGGAAAAGATGGGATTGTCTGATTGTTGCAGAAGGGAAAGTGTCATGAAGAGATTCCTGTTTGACATAGATCACTCAGTTTACTGTGTAGAAATGAGGTTTTGAGAGCAAGCAAGAAAGCAGGAATAAGAGCTAGAGGATTGGTATGGTCAGGCAGGCAACGGGTGATGGGGACCTGAAGAGTGAGTGCCAGTGGGGATGGATAGACATGAGCTCCCTCTGAAAGTATCTGATGATTGAAAGGGGGAACAAAGGAGACCTCAGGGCCCAGAGCCAGACTTTGAGTTGGGCAATGAGATGCACTTTCTGTCAGGGTTGGGGGCTAACACAGGGCACAGGTCAGGGAGTATTCCGTGAAAAAGACTGAAGACAGAATTCAAAGATATGTTTTTTTTTTTTTCTGGCTGGGATAAGTTTGTAAATGGGGGCATCCTTTAATGACACTGGAGGAGAAAGTAGAGGTGATAAGTGTCCATCTTAAAAGGAAGTTTAGCCACCCAAGTCACGGCAGCAACTAGATATTTGAATAAACCAGACTGGATAAAAACCTGAAGAGAGAGCCCCTCACTATGTTAGCCAGAAACCCAAATCTTCAGCAAGCAGGGCTTCGATTTGTCAATGATTTCTATTTTCTCTTTTAGTGAAAAACACCAAACTCAAACCAGATATTTTGGATCCCATCAAGGACACAGTGGAAGTAGAAATCGGTAAGTGAGCTACATGGTCACCTCCAATGACACTGCCACCAAAGGAAAAAAAGGCACTGGTCCTTGAGGTCAACCAGATTTGGACATGCAGTTTCGTTGGCCCTTGATTACTTCTCTGACATTGCACGGCGACTTAATCCTTTTGAAACGCAATCTTCAAGTATGGAAACGGGCATCATAAAAATGGTTTTATAAGAAATAATGGGCAAATGTATAATAAATACAGCCAGTGCCTTGGGTGTGATCAAGAAGTTTTATATATTTTTTCTTACTGCTGCCAGAAATAGCTGGGCATGTAAATGAATGTTATGTATTAGTTATGTCTATAAATTTACCAACTTGAGTAGTGCTAACCCCTATGGATGTTTGATGTTATTTGATATTGCCTCTAAGAAAATTATGGTGGAATAGTACAATTCCTGCTCAAACAATGTAGTGATGTCCAAAGTAGAGTTTGTTTGGGGGAGAGAGGAAATTGATTTCCCTGCAGTCTCATTTCATTTTGTTTGCTTTGATAACATCATCTCCTGCCACCCAGCCAAATAACATCTATAAATATTCATAAAATAATGAGATATTTGCATAATGTATGCGTATATACACATATATGCATGCATATCTGTGTATGCTTCCACACTGGAGAGAAAACATTTGGTACTTGTCTTCTGTGTATAAACAATGGACTACTGCTTAACCACAGAAAATAACAAAAACCTGAAATTCACAATAAAATAGGTGGAACTGGAGCTCATTATCCTAACTGAAATAAGCCAGACACAACATTGCTGCATTTAAAACCAAAGCTGTGTTTCAATAAAATAAGTTCTCTGTAAGGCACTAATAAAAGATTTATTATTACAGGAAGAAATGTAAGGACAGATATTATGATAGAAAGATATTGCATGGCAGTAGTAATATATCTTAATTATAACAATAGTAGTAAAAACAGGAGCAACATCCTACACAAGAATACATAGAAGGGACAAGAAGAAAAAAATCAATGAATCCAAATTCAAGTTACACATGGTGATGAATTTCAGGATACAAATCTAAATTTTTGAATTAAATTCCTGATTATTTCAGAGTAAAATGCTATTTTAGGCAGAAAATAGATATGGATATTCTTTATAAAATTACAATGATATGCATGCCTATCCTCTAGTGGCTAAATATGTGAACAATTACTTCTTTAAACTACATGCTAAAGTAGATTCATGATTTTCATTTACTTTGTTCTTATGTGTTGATGTGAAAAGCCAAGTGGCAGAGAAAGATCTTCCATTCTCTGATTCACAGTCGAAATGCCCTCAACAAACAGTGCTGCACCAGCCTGAAGACGGGAGCCAGGGACTCCGTGTGAGTCTCCCACACATGGAGAGGATCAAGCACAGGGCCGTCGTCCACAGCTTTCCCAGGTCCCTTAGCAGGAAGCTGGACCAGAAATAGAGCAGTGGGGACTGCTGCTCCTATGCAACTGGTGCCAGACACAGTGACTGAACTTTCCATGCCACAACACCAGTTCCAGTAAAATGTGTTTTATCAATACATCTCAAACGTTAACACCTGAATGTGTGTGTTTCTGAATGAGACATGTTGACATGGAGTTATTCCTGGCACGCATGCTCTAGCTGAAGACCGGACTAGCTCAGCAAACAATCTCCTCCTGCCCTCTCACGTCTTCCTTTCTTGTTTTCTCTGATATCTGCATTTTCAGGAAAGCCTGTAACGCTTACCTGCAAGGTGCGATTCGGCTTTGAGAAGAACTTCAGCCCTGTGATCAGATGGTACATCGTGGAGTCCAACAGGGAGTGGGAAGCCCCGGTACCCGAGGGAAAAAGGTAAGGTGAACACTAGTGGATTTCAGTCTTTGTAACCTAGATTAGATGCATACACCTCTAAAACACACACATGGAGGCGGTGCGTCAACTAGCCGAGGAAATACGGATACAGTCCCGCAGAGGGCTGGCTTTGAAGATGGGGGCCTCACTCACTTTAGAACAGGACTAGAAACTAATATCTTGAAACCGTTTCTTAGATAATGTGCATTGTTGCTTCATTTACAGCAACAGTTTGATGCGTCTGCTTTAAACTGTAGAGCTCTAGATCTTCCGTCGTGGCATCGTCACTAAGCCGTTGATTGTGACACTGGCGTCCCACATCACAGGGCTGCTTTGAGCCCCGGCTGATTTTTCTGGCCCAGATCTCTGCTGATAAACCTGGGGAGTCAGTGGAGATGGTCCAGGTGTTAGGTCTCTGTCACACCTGTGAGAGTCCAGGCTGAAATTTTCTGGCTCTTGAGTTCCGCCTGGCCCAGCCCTAGCTGTTGGAGGAGTAAGCCAGTGGGTGGATGATCTCTGTTTTCCTCTTTCTTTGTGCAGTTCTGCCTTTCAAATAAGTGAATAAATACATTCTTACAAATTGGGGTTATGCAGGCATGTGTGGACACAAACTATTTGAAAACAGAACAGCATGGTCCAACAAATGGGAAACAGTTCTGCCCACCCAACATGCTGTTTCCATCAATGCCATTTATTCAGTGTGGGGAAAGCACAAGGATTCGAATCCAGGGAGTCATTGAGAATCTAATAGAATACCACAAATGGTATCGTAATAAGGAATCTGGCAGAAAGATGTGCAGTGGGGAATAGTTGAAGCAACTTCACTGGGAAAAGGAGTCTTGGAGGTAGCTCATTTGTCTAGAATTACTTAGGAGATGTCATGTTAAATGAGAAATTAAATTTAGTTTGCTGATCTGTGGATCACAGAACCCAGGTGAGAGATTTGAGGGCACACAGTGAGAGCTACCGTGAGCCTTGAAATGCTGGGCTGAAGTCCCAAGCCGAGTCATCCAGTCATATCCAGTCATGAGTTCTATCAGTTTTACCAAGCTCAGACCAGTCGCAAGAGTCTGTGCATTAAATGCCATCTTATGATTTTTGGAAGCACTTTAGCGAACAAATGTTAACATCATTTAGAAATAAATATGCATACCATTAGAGAAAGCAAAAGAAAATATTTTGGTAACACCATAAAGTTCAATAGAAATTTTTAAGATCAGGGAAGCCGTTGGGTCCCATCTAACTCTTGTTGAGTATCTGTCACCGCATCTGAAGCTTCTTGGGATTAGCCCACTGTAAGGGGTCAGTAGAGTCTGTTCACCACAGTTCCCTGCAGCTTGCTAGAACTGTGGCAGGGAAGAAGTCGGTGGTGGCTAATAGTTGATTTTATAAGCTCAGGGTGACATAGCCTAAAACATCAACCACACAGACAAGACTTCCTTTTGGGAATTTTTAGTTGTTTATATAATTGAGTTTTGGGGGACAGAGAGACAAAGATACGAAGAGAAGGTGGCAGATCACATACCTTATACAGCTTGCCTGAATCCATGGTCAAGTTAGGATGCTCATAATATTGTTTTGTACGATTCCTGAGAAGTGAGACATGCATGGAGGAAATGAGACACTTCTTATTCAACACTAAGAAGCACTGATGAATCCCCTGTGAGACTTAGTCATTTTTAATATCATTCTTAAATTATTGTTATTATCTGTACTCAAGGGAAATTCTTAGAATAACTAAAGTCAAGTGAGACCCACAAGGAACTTCTATCTTAGGGGAAATGCCTAGCAGATTCAATTTGGGGGGGTTGGAGAATCCAAGAACTTTATTGAAAGAAAAGTGTGAGGAAATGTGCTGAAAGCCTGAGGGAGAGAACTTAGACACCTCCCCTCAGGTGTGGGACCAGGTGCAGGGTGGACTCCTGCTGGATGTTGTAGTCGGACAGGGTACGGCCATCTTCTAGTTGTTTGCCAGCAAAGATCAGCCTCTCCAGAAGGGATGCCTTCCTTATCCAGGATTCAAAAGACAGATTTTTCACAGAGGAGAAAGATCTTCTCTCTGCTGGTTCAGACCCCAAATGATCAAAAAAGCCAGAGCTGAGCTGATCTAAAGTCTGGAGCCAAAAGTTTCTTCCAAATCTCCTACATGGTTGTAGCGCTAGTTCCAGGATTTTAGATCATCCTCTATTACTTTTAGTGGTCATAAGCAGGGAGCTGGATTGGAAGTGGTGCTACTGGGACATGCTTCAGTGCCAGTTCAGCCATCACACTGGCCCGGAGTCAACAATTCAAGCATGAATGAACTTCTCTGTTCATTTTATCTTCTTTTGCTATTGATACCACAGCAGTTTTGTGAGGTCTGCTTATATGGTGGTATTTCAAAAGTCCATGGAAAACAAAATGCAAAGATAAATACATTTGGGTGAAAAGCATTTGAAATCTGTGCACACAGAGATCTTCCAAAAGTTCATGTCCGGTAGTAGTGTCTGGACTATAACGGGAGCTGCTGCTGCCAAACTTGACTAACAAACACTGCTCCTTACAGTCTTAAAAAAAAAAAATTAGTTTGTGGCCTACACCACAACATAACACATATTAGGCAAAAATGACTCATGGATTTCAATATTTACACAAAGATGAGTTTATCTTTTAATTCTGTCTTCCAGAATCTTTTGGAAATACTTTTGTGCAAGCTCCGAATACTGTCACTGATTGTCCATTTATGCTGTGGGTGTGGCATTTTCCCTTCCCTAGCGTTAAATCCACCTTGGAGGATGAAATCATTGAGCGTGTTCTCTTCTTCAAAGAAGTGACTCAAAGCGATCTTCACAAGACGTTCCTTTGCTTTGCTCAAAACTCTATCGGGAACACAACCCAATCCATTCAACTGAAGGAAAAGAAAGGAGGTGAGCCTGCAAGTTTGCCTTGGAGAAAAGGGTGCACCAGCTTCCATTGCTGAGAGGAGAAAAACTCCTGAAGAACAGAAATAATGAGGACAGCAACAAATGCTTTTTGGGTGCCAGGCATTGTCATATGTTCTTTGCTGGTCCTGACCAAAGGCACAGTCTGGTAAATTGCTTGCCAATAATTCAGAGTTGATCCTCTTAATTAATATTCCGTGTGTAGGGGGCTGTGTTGGAAAAGTCTCATGCCATGAGATGATCCACAAGACAAGTTTCCTCTCATCCTTTCCTGGCTTCCATATCCACAAAATAAGATGGATTCCTATTCTGGTGGGTGGAGAATAGAGGAGGGAAGAATGACTTTTGCTCAGTGCATAGAATATTTTTGAAATCGCAGATCATAGCCTTTAAAACAATAGAGCAGAATTTCTGGGTAACCTTATCTGCAATTTCACTTTCTAAGATTTTAGTGGCCTGTGAACCACCAACACCTGAAAAGAATACACTGAAATTTTTCAGAAATAAATGATTCATAAGTTTTAGACGGCACATCATTTTGTTATGTGATGACACCTCAAGCAATCTATGCCTTTGTCCCTGGGATGTGTGACGCGTGACTTACTTTGCCCAAACTATGTTGTATGTGCTATTTCCCCTTTATTAACCTGGTAGGTCAGTTGTTGCAACATTCACAATGCTTATGTTCAAGTTACTCTCTTGTACTTAATAATGGCCACAAAGTGTAAGAATGTAGATGCTGCAAATTCAGAAGGATCTTCTGTATGTGTCATCTGACATCACCAGAGGACGAAAGGTGATTATAATGCAGCAAGAAAGTTAAAGAGAAAGAGGTTGAGAGACCCCCCATTCATATAGCTTTTAGTATAGTAATAATGAATCCACTTTTTGCCATTGAGTATCATTTTCAATCTTAATGTGCCTGATTTATAAACTGTTTTATTATAGATATGCATAAGAAAAACAGTAGATCTAGAATTCAGGATTATTTCCAATTTGGGGTATCCACAGGATCTTGAGTTATGTCACCCTGAGGTGAAGGATCATCCCCTGTTGCCTTTAATTCTTTATGATGCTGCCCAGAGGTGAATTCAGTATCATTTATGCACTCATTCATCCAGTCAGAAGGGCTGACCGGCAGCATTGAGGGGTGAGAGGCTTACAGGACTTTCCAATCTGCAATGATGCCCCCTTGCAGGTGCTAGGTACAATGGACGACTCAAAGGTAAGTCAGAGCTGACTCCAGGCTAGAAGGCAATACACAACATTCATTTACAACATTCTCTGAGGGAGATGCCATACATTTTGTGGCTGCTTAGGTGGGAGAAAACCTAGGCTCCAGGTTACCGTGATTGGGAACCGTCCCTTCCCCTGACTTCTCCGTGGTTACTTGTAAGATGGGTCCACTCAATCATAATTTAAGATGCTCCCAGATTCAAGAAAGAGAGGCTGCTGGAGCAGTGACACTGCTTTAAGAAATGGAGTTGTGGAAGTGTTGGGTGTGACACATCCGCGGTTGGAGGGTCCCTAGACCTGTGCTCATCACTGCCCCGTTTCCCCAGTGGTTCTTGCCTACATCCTGCTTGGCACAGTGGCGACCCTGCTGGGCCTGTTGGCAGCGAGTGCCCTACTCTATATGTACTGGATTGAAATAGTGCTGCTATGCCAGACCTACCGGAGCAAGAACGAGACGCTTGGAGGTAAGGTCTCCCCAACGTGCAACCTCACGCATTCCCCTAGATTGGGCTTAGTGCTACATTTAAATGCCACCACCACCCATCAGTGTCATTTACTTGGAGTGATCTTAGAAAGAATTTCAGGGGGAGGCAGACTAGGAGGGAGGAGTTCAGGAAATGAGTGTTTCCTGGTGGTGAGTCATGCCTCAAGTTTTTGGAGATTTTCTTCCAAGTCTGGCAGCCTCCCAGTGGGGAAGGGTGTGGAAACATTCATTTTTCATTTCAGTTTTCAGGAATCCTGTAGATGATGCTCTTGGCAAAATAATGTATCGGGTATGAACATGGTCTCTCTAAAGCAACATGAAGAGTGACTCAGCATCCCTGTGGTTTGATTTATTGATCTATTAAATATGGCTGTAATAGCACTAGTCCCAGGAGGAAGCTGTGAGGGCTCCTTCCTTGAGTTCAGGTAGAGCAAGCATGAAGAATGGCACAGAGTCTGCTCCCAGCCTCTGGCAACCACTGCAATTTGAGGACTAGAGGACTTGCTGACCACGTATATGAACTACGTTAACTGTCAGGGAAGTCATTTGCCTCAAATTACACCACTAGACGCTGTGGCAGTCTGACTGAAGAGACTCCACTGGCTGTTCACTAACACAAATGAAATCTCTACAATAGAAAGCTGTGTCAAATGCAAGCAGCTACATGACCGGATTCCGTCACTAGAGAGGATAAGGATACACATCAACATTTGATTCTTTAGAACAGCTGCTTCTGTTTTGTCCCAGTTCTGGCACCTTCCAAGATTAGAGTGTCTCTGGTGGTAGTGAATGGTTCTGGTGTTGGAAGGAGCTTTATGCTGGATTTCAGTGGCAATTGCTTCGGTCACTGGGAGGCTGCTCCAAATTCAGGTGCTTTTCTCTCGCAAGGAATCCAGGAAGAATCATTAGCTTGTCAGCCAGCAGACTAGTAAAGAAATACATTGAGAGGTTGGTGCTTGGCACAGTGGTCGAGACACAGCCTGGACATCGCATTCCTTGTTCAAGTCTGTCCTCAATTTCCGACTCCAACTCCCTGCTAATGTTCACCATGGGAGGTAACAGTGATGGCTTCAATCTTATTCACCTGAGAGATGCAGATGGAATTCCCTCAGCTTGGTTTCAATATGGCTCAGGCCTAGCTGTTGAGAGCATTTGGGGAATGAATTAATGCATGGGATATTCTCTCTCTCTCTCTCTCTCTCTCTTTCCTTCTCTCACGTCTCTGCTTTACAATCATAAAAATAAATGCATCACTCACATCATCTGGCTTTAGACTAATCCTCAGACTATATTCTAGAAATCTTTAGGCCTGCAGCGTTCTTGAGGTAGGTTTTGTTAAGAAAAATGGCACAGGAAGTGGAGCACTGAATGTTGGGAAAGATGTGCGGAAACAGAGCAGAAAACAGGGAGAGAATTTACAGCCCAACTGAATTCCCAGAGGTGGCTGTCTGCCCGGGCACATGGAGTGGCCCCTGTGCAGAGGGCTGGTCCTTTTAATAAACTGGGTTTTGCACGATGAGGTCTTAGGGTATTCTAGGAGTAGGGAGTTCCAAGAAAAGTTCCAAGAAGAGTGGTTTTCCCTGGGCCTTCTACCCTGGATAGATTTTGTTCACAAGGAGCAACGAAATGCAGAGACTTGGGTGGGGACAGCTTAAACTGACCTTCTGAACTGCAGGATGAATAGTCCCTGGTGGGAGAATCCCTATTTATTTTTCATATCTTGTTTTCTTGCTCCCCTTTTACCTACAAGACCAGGAGGAAATAACTTCTAACTTGAGTCCCCAGATGACTTCTTCACTTGTTTCTGCCAAAATGCTGTTTATTGTACAGTTCTAGAGCTTGGCTGTGGGATCCAGCCCGCAGAGAGACACCAAGTTGTCCCCTTTTTCTCTGACTTTGCAGACAGAGGCGCTGACCCACAGTGAGGCTTGCAAACACAGTCATGCAGCGCCACCTGCTGGCCACATCAATGTCGTTAGATGAGATTAATATTGAATCTTCAACATTTTATTATTAATCGTTTGCAAAGATTTATTTATTTAGGAAGGCAGAGTAGGCTGAGAGAAAAAGAGAGGAGAGAGAGAACAGAGGAGAGAGGGAGAATCTTGCATTACTCCCTGATTGACTTCCTGAATGACTTCAACCAAAGACACAGTCCAGACCCAGGTCTGGAACCTAGAACTCCGCCTGAGTTCCCCAACTTGATGGAGAAGCTCATGCATTCAGGTCATCTTCCACTGCTCTCCCAGACAGGGAGCTGAGCTGAAGGTTAGAGGCCTGAACCCGGGCGCTGATGGGGATTGCTGACATTCCAAACCCTCGCTTAGCTTGCTGCTCCAGAAACCTAGTTCCTGCCCCAGATTTTAGAAACACGGAAATTGAGAATTTTGCTCAACTTTAAATCCAGTACTACACTCTGGATTTTCACACCTTTCCACTGGGGCCTCTGAGGTCCACAGAGAACAGGTGTAATGTGGGCTGGCTCCATCCCGGCACTGCTGTTTGCTATTGTGTGACAACAAAAAGGTGGGGAGGTTTTTAAAACGGTGGGAACAACGAAATTAAGACATATGTTTATTTTGGTGCAGAAAGCAATTGAAATCCAAGCATTTTTTTTATAACACACATTTCTCAGACACTTTTTTCAGATTTTTCATATGCATGGATTTCATAAATTGCTTGCACCAAAATAAACTCACCAGTTAATGCTATTTACCACAGACTTTTTTTGAATTTGTTGCATTCTAGTTAATGGGACAGATTTGGGTATCCTTCCGGTAATTTTTGTTGTGTTTTTTATTATTATTTTTCTTCCAGTTAGCACTTTAATATTTCCTAGTCATCACTGAGCATTGATGATGGAATAGAGGTGCATCTGTCTTTAAAATGTCCTAAAACCGGTTGTATTCCTATGGTTTCCGGAGTAGAAGGGAGGCAGGAGATGTTGATCTCAGGCCTGCTCTGAGTCAGGCAGCATTTCCCGTACATTATCCCAGGCAGTCTTGGAAACAGCCCATTGGTGAGTTCCTGGCCTTTTTCTTGGAACGCGTGGGCCTTCAGAAGTGGCAAAGTGTATTCAGCTCCAGCAGCGGAGGCCATGTGGTGGGGCTCAGCCGTGCCTTGTCACCTACGATGCAGCTGACCCCGCTTTGATGTGGAGCTAATGAGACAGAAACACTGCAGAGGCCCAGAGAACGCCCAGGGACTCCGGGGTGATGTGATCGCATCACCAGGGCCCTCAGCCGTTTGATCTCAGCCCAGAAATGAAAACTCGGTTTGAGATGGGCAGCGCACCTCTCAGCGGCGGGGCTTCCCAAGGGACACAAGCTGGAGTTATCTCACTGTTTAACTCTGTTCTGTGAGGATCCTCCGTTTCTTTCTTGGCTGTTACCATGCATACGGGCCTCGATAATAAAGCTTATGCTGCCCACTGTGCCTCTTTCTCAGATGAAAAGGAGTTTGACGCCTTCGTGTCCTACGCGAAATGGAGCCTTTCGGAGTGTGACGCCTCCCCGTGGCTGAATGAGGAACTGCTGGCTTTGAATTTGTTCCCTGAGGTTTTGGAGAAAAAATACGGATACTCCTTGTGTTTGCTGGACAGAGATGCGGCTCCGGGAGGAGGTAGGCCTTCGTGCCAAGAAAAAGTGAAGAATAAGAAGGGCAGTTTGAGGCGAGCCAGCCTAAGTGAGGGTTTTTTTTAAAGCTTTACTGCCTTTTGTATTGGAAGGTGCAACTTCCGGGTATTTTCATGAGCTCTTTTGTCTTGGGTAGCATCCCAGATCAGAATGTTCCAGCAACATGTTCCTCCACGAAAAGGAAGAAAAGTAGTGTGGGGGCCTTCGAGAGAAACTCTGGAGCCAAGATGGCTCCTTGCCCCTTTCACAGTGAGGGGCCGCTCTTGTTCAGGGACTCTGCCCTTCACAGACCCCAAGCACTGGGAAACACAGGCTCCCCGGGGACACGGGCAAGTTCAGCTTATCCAGAAAACAGCCAGATTTCAGGCTGCCTTGCTGACCACTCTGGCAAGGCTCCTGGGACGCTTGGAGACCCCTGTTGTCCGAGCCACCCTGCAGTTCCTGTGAGTTCAGAGGAATCAATAACTTGGGATAGCAGGCCAAAAGGGAAGGGTGTAGAACTAAGTCTCTAGAGTGTGTCTCTTATCATCAAGTGACAGAATAAACCTTATCTCTTTCCCTCCTTACATAAGACTGTTGATTGTATCTACTGCTGGGAACCCTCCGGATAGATCTAGCGATCTAGGTTTTATTTGTTTTGTTTTTGCTTTTTTTTTTTTAAATTTATTTATATTTATTGCAAAGGCAGATCAAATTTATGGAGAGGAGAGACAGAGAGAAAACCAACAGCCAGGAGCTCCTCCGGGTCTCTCACAGGGGTGCAGGGTCCTAAGGCTTTGGGCCGTCCTCTGCTGCTTTCCCAGGCCACAAGCAGAGAGCTGGATGGGAAGTGGAGCAGCCGGGACATGAACTTGTGATATGAGATCCTGGCACTTGCAAGGCGAGGATTTAGCCACAACAGGCCCCAGTGTAGGTTGTCGTGACCCAAGCTTTAACCATATCAAGTGCAAATGATTGTATTTCTTCTTTGCAGTGTATACAGAAGACATTATCAACCTTATTAAGAAAAGCCGAAGAGGAGTATTTATCTTGAGCCCAAACTATGTCAATGGACCGAGTATCTTTGAATTACAAGCAGCAGTGAATCTTGCCCTGGATGATAAAACATTGAAACTAATTTTAATTAAGTTCCGTGCCTTTGAGGAGCCAGAATCGCTACCTCATCTAGTGAAAAAAGCTCTAAGAGTTTTGCCCACTGTCGCATGGAAAGGCTTAAAATCAGTTCCTCCCGGTTCCCGGTTCTGGACCCAAATGCGCTACCACATGCCTGTTAAGAACGCTAAAGGAGTCACATGTAGCAAGTTCAGAATTATCCCACAAATTTTTCCCCCAGCAAGTCTGAAACCACGAGGAGGGGCTCCCAGCTTAAAGAACTCTGAATTGGGCAAGAACATGCTGCCTACCTGGCACCGGGTGGGAGGGATGTGAACGGAGCTAACACTCAGCCTGGAAGAGCAGGTCTTCCTCCAGCCCCGAGCAGGCTGGACAGACACAGGAAGGAGAACGACGCTGTGGCTGGCTGCTGGATGGGACGAGGGAATTCTCCAGAGCTCTGCGCGTGTCCTGCACACGGTGCCCCCAGCATGTTCCCAGCGATCGCAGTGGAAGCTGCTGGTGCAGCACTTCCTGCTTTGCAACAAAGGGCTGTGGTCACTTAGGACTTCGTTTATACATATTGTCTCAGATAAACACCATTGCATTAGGATAGAATGAGCTCAACTGTGCCTCCAGGTTTTCCCATGAGAATTCTTTTCCAATAAATATGTATGTTTCATTTTTGATGAACGTGCAGAGATTACGCATATTTGGGTGGTGCAGGGTAACTTTCAAAATGCGGATGTAATGTGTGATGATCTGAAAGTAACAAGCCCATCAGCTCAGACAGTCTTCATGCTTTTGTGTGTGCTGGGAACATTGAAAACCTTCCATACTAGCTATTTTTGAACTACTCCAGTAGTTATCGTCAGTTATAACCTTATTTCAAAGATGTATTTTGTTTTCATTTGAAAGAGAAGGGAGACACAAAAAGAAATTCCATCTGCTAGATACTCACACTGGCCACAGCCAAGCTGATCCAACGCTAGGAGCCAGGAGCTTCTTCTGGATCTCCCACAAAGGTGCAGGGTTCCAAACTCTTGGGCCGCCCTCTGCTGATTTCCCAGGCCACAAGCAGGGAGCAGGATGGACGTGGAGCAGCTGGAATATAAACCAGAGCCCATATGGGACGCTAGCACCACACTGTGGAGGATTAGCCTGTTGGAGCCTCCACACTGGTCCCCTGTGATGGTTCTTGCACTGTTTCTTCATTGAATCAAGCATGGGAATTAAGTATGAAGAGTCCTGTGGGACAGCAAGCAGACAGGCCTGTGATCAGTGTAAGTCCTTCTGACACATGCACCTGCTGAGCAATGAACTATAGATCCTCCTCAACCAGCAGTGGGGTGGCATCCTGTAAGTCCACTGTTAAGGTGAAAATGTCAGTATAAAGGCGTGGTCTCTGCCTAGCACCCTGAACATCCTCGCTGAGTGTCGCAGCCCACTGTGGAGCTAGAGTGTTTCCCACATGACCACGGAGCTGCGCAGGAACTGCCACTGCTCAGCATCATTCAAGAGGATCAGACTGCATAGAGCCAGACCAGGAGAAGACCCAGATGCAAAATCCTAAGTATGGTTTCTACAGAGCACATATTGCTTCTGCATCACTGTGAAGCCAAAAAGTCTCAAGTCAAGCCATCATCCGTAGAGACCGTTTATACAAGGGGCGTTTTTCATTAGGTGGATGTGCCCTAGGTCTGAATACAGGCATGGCAAACAAGGTGGCGATAACTACTTCATTTCCTTCTTTTGTCACTGGCTAGAGACGTAGGTGAAAGGCTTACAGTACGAAGCTTTACCCTGGTACCTTGGGGAGTTGAGACTGGCCAACTAAGCCCACATTATTACGGTCCTTGAGGAAACACATAATTGACTAGCAGTTTTGTACAGACTAGAAAGGTGGTGGCAAGAGTCAGCAGATATATGGGGAGTCTGGAGAGTAAGTGTGCACACAGGGAAATGCAACAAGAACAGAAGTGGGCTAGAACTTTTGTCTGAGTTACTGGCCTGTTGAGGTTGGCACTCCCATGTGCTGGCTGGCCTTAAAGTATCAGCTTCAGTCTAGCAAGTGGCAGGCTGCTACTTTAGAGGGCCAAGTCATTGCTCCTGGCGAACAAGGCCAATGTCATCCTCTTGTTTTCCTTATGAGAGCTCACCATGCAGCTAAAGCAGCGTTCTCTGTAGTTCTGGGTGGCCTGCAAAAGCCCTGCCTGCTCCGTGTGCCTTAGTGTAATGGTGATTCATCCAGCAAGCACTAAGGGAAAGCAGCGTCTGAACTCACTCCCTTGCAATGTGTCACAGCCTCCATTCTGAGGTGATTCACATCCAGAGTGACTTTTAAGAGGCATTGTCATGTGGTCCCCTGGGTCTTGTGGGAGATGCTCCTCTGATCTTTCTCTACAGAGCACCCACATCATAAAAACCAGTGTGGCCTTGGCACCAAGTGACATCCTTGTTGAAAATGTCAGTGATGAAGTTAAGGAGGAGCTACAGAGTATCAATTATGCCTGGAGGAAGTTTCCTGTGGGAAGGATCATTGCAGGGTCTCAGCAGGGAGGAACCCACACTGTCATTGTGCCCTTAGGTTTGGGGGATGGCCAGGAGCCCAGGCCTTCCTGCCAGCTGCTCTCTGAGACCCACAACTCAGAAACCTCTGAGTTCACCAGAGGCCAGTCTTTCCAGGTTTGCCTTATTCTGAGATGCTACTGCCATGTACAAGGTCAGAGTTTTGTCCTTTAGCTTTGTGAAGAAGCCCCAGGATTGCACCTGCACAAAGAGAGATCTCTACTGCTCACTAACATGGATAGTTTGCACTCCTTTTCAGGCAGAGAGAGAATAAGCCTTCAGGAAAAAGGGTTATTTATAGTTCTTACAAGTAAATCAACTTAGCAAAATAGTCAGCTTAAATGAATTTTCTATGTCTGGGAAACTATGAGCAACTGCACTGGGTGGATTACACTCAGAAAAAGACGATTATTTTACTATGATGCCTTCTAAATCAGGTGGGTCTGGTTTATGGCTGTTGCTCATGTATTATTTTTACAGCACTCTATTCCACTCTGAAAAAGCATCCTCTTTTGCATGATGCTCAGCCTGCCTCTCACACACCCTCCACTGACTGTGTGTCATCTCAGGCACTTCTCTCAGCCCTTTAGTCTCTTTTGAGTTTTTAGAATAGATTTATTGATTTAAAAGGCAGAATGACAGAGGGAGAAAGACAGAAGAAAAGATCTTCCTTCTGCTAGTTTATTCCCCCAAATGGCTGCAACAACCTAATATGAGTCAGACCAAAGCCAGGAGCAAGGAACTCCTTCCTGGCCTGCTACATGGGTGGAAAGCACTCAGACCCTTGGGCTGTCTTCCACTGTATTCCTAGGCTGATTGGCAAGAAACTGGATTGGAAATGGAATAGCACTCCAATACAGGATGCCATGATAGGAAGCGCTGGCCTCAGCTGTTGTGTCACAATATTGGCCCTTTGGGGATTTTAAAGCCAGTCTTTGTCATCTGTACTATGTCTAGGTTGTATTTCCAGATGAAATAAAAACACATACTACCCCGTTGTTTCCTTTTGTTGCAGTTGTAAGATCTGGATGAGCAGCATAGAAGAAGATCAATTCGATCTGCAAAGCAAATACAAGTAGAATATAATGTAAAATGGGGGCTAGTACCATAGCATGATAGACTAAGACTCTACCTGTGGCGTTGGTATCCCATGTGATTCCTGGTTGTGTCCCGACTGTTCCATCTCTAGCCCAGCTCCTTGCTTATAGTTTGGGAAGCAGAGAGAATGGCTCAAGTTCTTGGGCTCCTGCACCCCCATGGTAGAAGCAGAAGAGATTCTTGGCTCTTGGCTTCAGACTGGCCCAGATCTGGCTCATTGTGGCCATTTAGGGAAATGAACCAGCAGATGGAAGATCTCTCCCTGTCTCTTTTCTCTGTGATTCTGCCTCTCAAATAAATAGAATAAATCTTAAGAAAAAAGGAAGGTCTTCCATCCAAGTATTAACCAGGCCCAATCCCACTTAGCTTCTGAGCTCAGGCATGTTCAGTGTGGTATGGCCATGGATGGTTGCAGCAGGTTGAACAAGGCCACTGTTCTTGTCAGGACAGGAGGCAAAGTCAGCCTGGGCCAACGATCCACTGGTATGCACGAGAACTACCACTGGGAGGAGACTCGATGGAGGAGCTTGGGAAACTGCTTCATTGGGAGGCAGTCCCTGCAGGTGAGCACAAAGCAAGGCAAGGAGCAGTTCAGACTATGCCAGGTTACAGCACCCACCAGCATACATGTGGGTCAGGTCTGGGGACAGACCAGTCTGGGCCAGCACATAACACCCCCTGGCAGATCTGAGAACCAGGCAGGGGGCAGGAAGAGCCAAATCAAGCCACAACACCAGCCAGTTCACATTAGGACCAGGACAGCAATCAGGCTGGGCTGGGATAGGCTGCAGCACCCACCAGCAGGAGCTGGAACAGGGGCAGGCTAGACTAGGCCAGGTGGTACAGTAAGATAGTGGATGCTGAGGTGAAATGAGTCATACCAGCCTCAGCCCAGTGGGGGTCTGACACAAGAGTCCCAAAAATGGAGGATCTGACAGGGCTCAGGTAGCTTGGCTCAGATCCTGGGGTCCACCTGTGTCCTGGACCCTGGGGACAGGGAAACCAGTGGGGTGTGGGTTGAATGACCCAGATCCTGGGGCTTGCCTTCTAAGTTGGTACTGGTTTTGGAAGCCCCGGGGGTGGGGAATCTGGTTGGAAAAATTTAAAAAGTATCAAAAAATAAAAAAAGAACAAAGAGATGGGGAATGGAGAAAGAGGGAAGTGGGTCTATCGAAACATTCAAACATCCAAGCCCACAAGTCTACATTTTTGATGACAAAAGAGGTCCAGAAAGAGATGCTAGCAGTGGCTTAAATACAGAGAAAGGAATTTCCTGCTGCTGCAGTGTTTTTTCTTTCTCTTTTCTTCCAGTTCTCAAGTCTCTGAGCCATTCTGTGCTGGCAGCAACAATGCCATTCCCAGCAGCGGGAACGGGAACATTCAAGAGCCCACTTTTTCTAGGAAGGGAAATTGTTTACTTTTTTACAAGAACTTTTGATCCCAAGAGAGTGCCAGATCTCTACTGTTCAATTTTTTTTCTTCTTCTTCTCTTTGCCCTCCTGCCATCTCGCTGCATAGATGGAGGCAGAGGAGGGTTGGAAACCCCGATGCTATTTGCTGACACTGAAGAGGAAGAGAGGAGCCTCAAGGCAGCAGGGAGCCCTGGAGACTGCAGGCAGAGAGGAGCTCAGGAAAGCAGCGCTATACAGTTGTTTCTAAATTCCTGGGCTGATCCGTAGTTTACACATGCATGAATTTGACCATAAATTGTGTGTTATAAACTTTGAGAATTGTGCTTCTTAAGTCTCAGATGAACCACTGCAAATATACATATAATTTGACCCAAATAGAGCTGAAAGGTTATGGAATGTAATCAATATTGTTTGACTGAAGTATGGATTCTTTATCAAAAAGGACCAGTTGCCTGTGGCAACAGAAATGAACATTGTGGGCCAGGTGTGATAGCCTAGTGGCTAAACCAGGATCCCATATGGGTGCCAGTTTTAATCCTAGCTCCTCCCTTCCCATCCAGTTCCCTGCTTGTGGCCTGGGGAAGCAGTCAAGGACAACCTAAAGCCTTGGGATCC